GGAGGATATGGTTTTTATGGATGAGACAGAATGGCAGCAGGAATGTGAACCAGATGGCCACATTGTGTCACAAGTCCAGAAGCAGAGAGAAATGAATGCTGGTCAGCTCACTTTCTCTTTCTTATTTAATCTAAGGCCCCAGACAATGGGGTGATGCTGCCTGTACTCAGGCTGAGTTTTCTTTCCTTAGTTATGCCTTTCTGGAAACACCCTCATAAATACAATGAGAGCTGTGTTTCCTTGGTGATTCTAAACCAAGTCATGTTGACAATGAAGATTAACCATCATGAGATGGTTTCTTACCTTTGATATGTCTTGTTCACACTCCAATAGCTTCCTAAGTCTTCCTTAAGTTTGTTATTAGCCCAACAGAACCAGTGGTACTTTCTCTTCATTAAAAAAGTTAACTGAGAACATCCATCATTTTACTGTCCTTCTCCTGAAGAATACTTGGTAGAGAGATTTCTCAGTGGTTAGGAGAGCTTACTGCTTTTTGAGAAGACTGGAGTTTATTTCCTAAGCATTCATGTCAGGCAGCTGTGACTCCAGCTCCAGAGGGTCCTACATTCCCTTCTGGCCTCTGGGTATCCCACCAGCATGAACATATAGGCACAGTCACATACACATACATAAAAAGAAAAAACAAATCTTAAAAAAGAGTGTTTTCAATAATATCATATTGCATAAAAAATAACATTCTCGACATGGTGTCTCATTCAGGCGTTATTGTGTTGTTTGAAATTTCCTTACTTTTTAACTGTTAAATCTCCACATTCCTTCAGTGTTTAATATGCCCTATATCATTCTGGTATCTTTTTTACTTTCTCAATAAGAGTGTTGTGTTTGCTTTCCGTGTTTATAGTTGGGCATGGCTCTGTTGGTATTTAGCTTAGCTTATTCTACCTTGATTGGTTTAACACACACACACACAGCTTTCTTCCTCATCTAGATTTCTCATTGTTTGAGGATAGGGCCCTTTGCAGAATGCATCCCACAAAAGGTGCTTAGTAAATGTTTGAAGAAGTCAGAGGAAGAGTTATGGGGCTGCATGGCAATGAGAATGATTCTGAGAACAGAGAGCTTAGTTAAAGAGGCTTTTGAAAATGTGTGCAAAGGATAATAAAGGACTCAGTGTATTGGCAACTTGACTCAAATCCTCATTTCATTACTAGAGGAATGTTAGGGAGATTGAGATGACAATAGAGAAGGACTTAGGAATGTTGATAATTTACATGGACTACAAGGGACAAGTTTGCTATGAGACTGTTTCCTAGTGATCTCAGACCCATAAAGTCTCACCAACATGACTGCCTAGCCATGAGTTGAGCAAGGACAGCAGTAGACATGCCAAGATGGATAGGTGAAAGACCGTGAGGTCTCAACACTACACAAAACACTGCAGGCAACTAAGGAATTCTGAGAGTGGGAGAAATAGTCTTCCCCAGGGAAGTGCTTACCAGTTGATTGTCTAATTCTAAACGATGAATCCTGAAAATATCCATACAAGTACCAGTATACAGACTGACCAGGTTATATTTAGGATTGTATATGCATATACATATATGCATGTAACAACAATTAGTGAAAAAGAGGCCATGAATTTGAAGGCAAGTAGGGAGGGGTATATGGAAGAAAGGGAAGGGGGAAATTATATAATTATAATATCAAAATTAAAATAAAGAAAAAACTTTTCAGAAGTTACTAAACCCAAGTAACTAGAATAACATTATTGACAAAAGATAGTAAACCAGAAGTAGAGAGTAGACATGGAGGGAAATCTTTAGATAGCATATATAGTATTTGTAGCAACACCAAGAACCAACTGGATGTATCAAACAAGCTGTAAAGGATTCTTTGTGGGAGGAGATTGCCTTTCAATTCACTCCAATAGATACTGGCATAGTGTGTAATATCTACCATTCTCTATTCTGGAGATAGACAAAACACAGTCTATGCCTACACATTTAATGTTGAAGTGGAAAACACTCTAGTACCATTGCAGTTAGTGGTATGAAATACTAAGCAGAATTACTGATTATGGAAAGTATTATGTAAATGTAAGTGGGATAGTGATAGATTATATAGTTACCAATAAGAATAAGTTACAGAAGAGATGATTATTGAGTTTGGCCTTGGAAGATAAATAGAAGATTGTTCAATAAATGAGGACATGCTAAAGCGGGTAATAAGATTCTGGGACACAATACAGGCTGATTGAGGTTTATTCGGGGAGAATTCACTTACACAAGAGACAGAAAACCGCCGCAGATTCCGCTGCAAGGATGTCCACCGATCTCTCATCTCCGACCGGGAATTAAGTCCACACCTGTCCCGTGGTCAGTATAACAGGTGTGGGTAGGGTGGATATCTCACTACAACATGCCTTCTTCAAATAAAAATAACCTCAGGAAAACGTATAGGTCATACAAATTCATGGCATTCTAAAGGAACAATAAGAAGTCTGAAGTGACTAAAGAAAAAGAGATGTCAGAATAAAGATGGATAGTACAAAGGGGATAATGATTGTCAGAAACCAAAGGCAGATGTTGTTGCAGTGGGCTAAAGAGGAAGGATGTGTAATAGTTAAAAATGTGCAGTCTAGAGTTGAACCCCCTGTATCCAAATCCCATCTCTTAATTGTATATAGGCTTGAACAAGTCACCGAATCTCTTTGGGTTCATGTTTCCTTATCTCTTGAATGGGATTAATGATAACCTGCCATGAATGATTGTTTAGGAGGATTGAAAGGTGCTAAATATAAACAATTACAGTGGTGCCTGGCATATCATGAGTTCTGTAAAGGTTAGCCTAAGGACTCAATTACAAGTAACAAGGCACTGTGCCAATTTCTTCTGTACAGCAGTAGCCTGAAAAAGAAATTTTAATGGGAAGCAGCTATGTTTCCAAATTTCTAAGCAATGACCCTGGAAGAACTAGACATATCTCTCTGTCTCAGAGGAATGAGTGTTCCTTGATATGGTATGACGTCTACCTTGGAGAAGTAGATCTAACTTAAGAAAAAAGAGTTTGGGGGAGAAACAATGGACAACGGCCAGAGGGACTGCTTACTTAGAATAAATAAAAGCTGCCATTGTATTACCCCTGGATATAGATAGCTCAGTGCTATCAGTCAGAACTGAGTGCTAACAGTCAGAACTTGGGTTCAGTTACCAACTGCTACATGGTAGCTCACAACCATCCATCATAATCTAGTTCCAAAGGAACCATCACTCACTTCTGACCTCTGAGGACATCAAGCACATACATGGTACACATACACACATAAAGACAAAACACTTATGCACATAACATTTAAAAAACTTTAAAAAAGAAATATCTAATTATCCAGTAGGAACTGAGGAGCTCTCTTCAGTTGGTTGCTTCACAGAAAGAGTCAGTTAACTTTTTTAAAAAGATGTGGGCCCTGGTAGGTTGACCACACTCCAGGGGATTGCCTCCACCTCAGAATATCTGGGCAGCACAAATTAGGCTCACCAGGTTTCTTTGTTTGTTTGTTTTGTTTTGTTTTGAAAAGAGGACAGGAATTTGAGGAAGATGGGGGTGGATCTGGGAGGAGGTAGGGAAAATAATTGAGGGTGAATATGCTCAAAATACATTATATAGAATTCTAAAATAATTAATAAAACCATTTAAAAATATCCAGCAGGGACCTGAAGGTGAGAGGAGATAACAGGGCCCAGGGATATTGCTGAATTTGTAATATGTAGAGGAATCTTTTGAAGAGAGAGAGAGAGAGTGACTGACACCACATCCCCTCCTCCCTGGCTAACACAGCAATCTAGCTCCTGGGTTCTGATGCTTTCAAGGAAGCTATTGTCTATTTCTCAGCTTTCTAGAGCTCTGCTCAAGTGGTCCTCGAATAGACTGTTGGGATAATGGTGCTTCTTTGTGTCACAGCTCTGTGTGCTGATGAAATGCAACTGAACCTTGTTTGCCAGCCCCTGCCAGGGTTCCTCTTCAGCTAGCCTAGGCATTCATTTAAAAGAGCTCAATTTGAAATATGGGTTTGACACTTAATTAGCATTGTGATATGGAACAAGTTAGCAAAATTCCCAAAGCCCCTGTTTCTGCATTTGTGAAGTGAGTTAAAAAAAAAAAAGCAACTGCATTAGACAGTTATAATGATAATTCAAGGCATGGACTGGTTTTCTGTGTAGTGATTGGCATATTGAATGCTTCAAAGATGTCAGCCCCTTGTCTCTTCTTTTCCTATTGTATCTGGGGAGTCCCGTGCTGTCCTGCATTCATTTTAGCACCTTCTGGGAACTTCATTCCATCCATTATCAACAGTAATAGAGAAGAGAAGATGAAGAGATCTGTCCATGGAAAGACAATGAATTTATTCAACTCCCATCCTGACTTTGCAGCAGAGATTTTGATGTAGACAGTATCTCAAAATAGGAAAAGTATTTAGATATTGGATAGAAATTTCCTTCTAAGCCAAGAAATATGAGTAAAACGTTGTGACAACTATGTGAAAAAAATATCTACACATTCATATGCTTCATGTGAAAATAGATCTACACATTCACATATTTAAAATCAGAAGGGAACAAGGAAAACAGAAAACACTTTAAGCCAATAGAAATATGTTGCTGCTCTGTAATCTTAACATTATTGTGCCTGTGGAAGAGGATCTTCTTTCCTTGAGACACACGAGTCTTCTTGCTTTCTTTTGTAAAGAACAGTAGGAGGACAGGGTGCTAGAGTAAAGGGATTTGCACAGCAGGAATAACATGCCCCCATCTCATCTGCCCTGCTGCCCAGTCTTTCATTAACCATCATAACCTACCAGAGGCCTGTGCTGCTTCAATACCCTTGCATCATTAATAGCATCATCTTTCCTCTTCTTCTAGGAGCGGATCTTATCGAGGGAGGTATGGAAGAAGTTGTGCATGTTTAGCTGTCATCGAACCTTTTAGAGCCAGCAGGGGGCAAAGGCAACAATCACTGTATAATCCTTTGCACTTTCTTGGCAGGTGAATACTGCTATGCATGAGGCAAAACTTATGGAAGAATGTGATGAGCTGGTAGAGATCATTCAACAGAGGAAGCAAATGATTGCTGTCAAAATCAAAGAGACAAAGGTAAACCACAGGGCTTCAGTGAAGCCAAGGTGCAGTTGACTTTTTACAAGAGTTGGAGTTCATTCCTGATGATTGCAGTTTGAAATTGAATCATAAAATCAAAGAAATGAGGTCATTTGGAAAGATATCAGGAAGTAATGTTTGCCCTTTGCTGAGTACGATTAAAAAAAAAAAAACCATGGCATCTCTGGGTGCTGCAAACATTATGTACTTTGACCTGGATGTTTGTGTGTGTGTGTGAATTTGTGTGAAAATTATCATTTACTTAGGATTTAGGTGTTTTACTTTAGCATTTTCAGGTTGACTTTTTTAACCTTTATTTTGTGCGTATGGGTGTTTTGCCTGGATGTATGTCTGTGTATTGTGTGCATGCAGTCCCCTTGGAAGCCAGAATAGGCAAGTAGATCTCTTGGGAATGGAGTTAAGGTCAGTTGTGGGCCAGCATGTGGGTACTGAAAATGTAACGCAGATCTTCTGGATCTCCAGCCCCTCCCTCCCCCATATTTTAAGGTAATAAAAACAAAGAAATAATGGGAGAAACATGGGTTGGGATAATAGAAGAAATATGACTGCCATCTTGACCACTTGGGACTTAGAAATGTATTAGGAAACTATTGTGATTCTGTATGAAGGATGTAATCTGCTATGGTAGATCAGAGCATGATGATACTGAAGCCTGGAAAGCAAGTTAGGAGACATACAGTGATTTCTGATATGAGTTTTGCAATGTGAAAACCAGACTAGTGATAGAACATATGGAAAAGAAAAGCATAGTAATTGCGAGAGAGGAAATGGTGTCATTTAACTTAATAGAGGAACGAGAGAGAGAAGAGTCAAATAACTTTAGATTTCGAAGCAGGGAATGGAGGAGTAAGGGTTAAAGAGGTCAGGCGAGAGTCTCCATTTCAGCTTCTGTATGTTTTTAGGCTTGTTGGCCTGCTGGTAAGTAATAATGATTATAAGCCCGTGCTGTGGGTACAATGGGAAAAGTTGCAAGTACCTCATTTGATGACCAATACTTTGTGCCATGCTGGGTGGTTCCAGCTAACATGAATTGAAGTTTCCAAGAATACATTGTGGTAGGCGTAAAGGTACTTAGAGAAATAAATGCATGTAAATACAGCTAGTCATAAATATCAATCAGGTACTTTTGTTAAATGTGTGCAGAAAATATATCGTCAATGAAATGTAAACAATAGTGATCAGTGATAGAATTTCTTGTTACATTTGTATTTAATTTTTTTAATAATTAAAATGCATTGCTTTTACAATCAGAACAACGTTATTAATACAAAGAGGCGGTAGATAAGAGAGAAATGGCTGAATGCAAAGTAAGTAGTCAAGTTATAGATTGGGCAAGAGACTTGGCAGCCAGGATGAGGTGAGCAGTTGATGCAGGGGTCATGGGATGTTAATAACCCATACTTTTAGAATCACTGGGGTAGATCTCCTTCATGTTATTTTATTGTTTTTAATTTTAATTTCTCTTACCAATCTTTTAAGGTTATGAAACTGAGAAAATTGGCACAGCAGGTTGCTAATTGCCGCCAGTGTCTTGAACGGTCAACAGTCCTCATCAACCAAGCTGAGAATATCCTGAAAGAAAATGACCAAGCACGGTTTCTTCAATCGGCAAGAAATATCGCTGAGAGGTATATGTTCTTCTTGCATTCTTTTCAAATGCCTGATCTTGTGGACAGGGGCTGGCTCAAAGTCACTTAATTCTCTCCAGCCATTTTATAATAGCTGCCACCCAAAGATTTTTACTAGCTAGGTAATTATTGCGCTTCTGTGATAAATTACCCTTCAGATATCTGGACCCTTTTCTTCGTCTTTGCTGCCTGCCAGTTCTTTTAATACATGACCAAGTACAGAGCTACCTACTGCCTTAAGCTCCCTGCTATGGCTTGAGCAATCTGTTATAGTGTGGTATATGGGAATAAAAACTCTGGACTACATTGATAGGATGTGCCTGTGCTAAGTTATGCACTGTTTTCAAAATCATCCCTACTCCTTTGCCTCCTATTCCCTCATGCTACATTTCCCTCCCTACTCTTTTTTTTCCCCAAAACCATTGAGTTCATTTATGGTTGTCTGTATGTGCATGGGTTTTTATTGTTTCATTTAGGTTTTTCTTGGATAAATTCCTTAGAAAGGTAATTCTTTGGCTTTTGTTTAGTCATTTGGCCCTTTGAAAATTAATGTCACGAACATTGTTCCAGAGTGTCAGAGAACTCATGGATCATTCCTCTATCTATGGATCATTAATAGTCGATCTATTAATAGTGTATCTATTAGAGACAATGCTCTAAAGTAAATCATTGTCCAGTTCAGCACCAGTTCTTCAAGGGTCTACAAGAGACCATTAGGCCAGATATAATCTCTTTTACATATTTCCCTCTCATTCATTGAAGACTTTGGCTTTTAAGCTCCTGACCTTCCTCCTATTGGTACTGTCATCATTCTGGATAAGTTCACTCAGACAACTAACCCATGTAATGCTCTAACCACCTAGCTCTCCACCTTCTCTGGTACCTTCTTCTCCAGAGACTCCCGACTTGGATTCACTTCATTTACTCACTTCCTGAACCACATTTCATTAGCATCACTCAGAATCACACAACCATAAGCTAAAGCATCACATTTTCTAACTACAACATGTTTTTAAATTCAAAAATACATCTTTTCTTCAACTTTATTGAGACCTCCAAGGCCTGAATCATATACTTCTGTTTTCTACAACTGACTTATCTATCTCTACTTTTCTCTGAGCTTATTTGGATCTTGTGATTTATCACTTCAGCCACCCTTTTTAAAGCCTTTCCTTATCCCCATCATGGGATTCTTGGAGAAATGGTAATTCTTTGGGATTCATTCTTTCAGTCCTCTGATAGCCAGAGGATGAGACACAAGTGTCTGTATAATATCTCCTCTCCTGCCAGACCTGTTACATTGTCTTCTGTACTTCCCAGAATACCTGGTAAACTTTTGACTTCACTTTTAAATTTCAGCTCTGAAAGGTGGTAGGAAGCTATGAGGGGGCGGGGGCAATTTGTTGCTTGGTGAACTTAGCTGTAGGATTATAAGACAGAATGCCAGTTTTTTTTTTTCTTTTTTCCTGTTTTTCTTTTTCTTTCTTTCTTTCTTTTTTTTTTTTTTTGGATCTCAACTCTCAGTACTGTAGGTACTCATTTTGGGGTCCATTTCCCTCGAAAGGAACCCCACACCCTCCTGCTTTTGGTGGGCAGTGCATATGGGGTGGGCAGGCTTATAGGCCTGGCTGTCAGCATTCTAGCGGCCAAGCAGGGAAAGAGACATGAGACATTCCAGACTTTTTTTTAATGTCAAAACTCTGCTGACGTGAACCTCACATCTCTTGCCAGGCTGAGGAAAGGGCAGGCTGACTGGATCTGTGTGTTCTTGCTATTGTTCATGCAAACTTTCAACTTGGTGTCACTAAATCAGCTCGATGTTGGCTTCCTAATCCAGCTTTCTCTGGTCTGTTGTTGGTTACTGCACATCTGCCCCTTTCTAGCTTCCAAACATTTGTTGACAATCTCTTAGTTGCTGGCATCCATTTGTTTCATTCTCTTTGTCTTTGTGGGTTTGGGCCATTTGTATGCCTTTTCCTTCCAGTGGGATGTTGAGAAAACAGAGAAGAAATATCTATTTGAGCCACTATATTTAACTGTCCTTACCCTGCAGGCCTCTGAAATGTTTTCTCCCTCGTTAACATTATTGAAAGTGTTCTTTTCAAGGTCACCAAGAGAGGACCTTGTTGCTAAATATAAAAGATGCTCCTTTGTTCCATCTTTCCCTTTCATCTTGCTAGTTTCTCAGTAGCATGTGTCTGTACTGACCATTACCTTCAATCTCTCTGTTTTGTCTCTCAGAAAAATCCTCATTACCTGTCTCGTTTTCTTTTCTTTCCTTTATTTCTTTTTCTTTTCTTTCCTTTTCTTTTTCTGCCATTGAGAGCAGCTGTTCCCTGATCTGTTCCTTAATTACACTGTTCTTCCATATTCAATATTAGTAAAGTCTCTTCTCCCTGCACACAGTTTTCCTTACAAATCCATTAGCTTTTAGGGCTTCAATTACCAATTAGTTATGATCAAATGCTGTGTTGATATTCCCAAATCACTATGTAAATCTTCGTATGGGCTCTAGTGCATGGAATAGATGGCTATCAATATGATACCACTTGAGAATCATCTACCCAATATAAATAGTTTTCTCTCTGGTCTCTCATAGGATCTGAAATTCATCCATATTCATTATGTTGTATTAAGGTACTATCACTTCAGAAAAAAATGAAATTTTAGCTGGGAGACATGTCCTTCCAACACTTTCTATATTATTTTGTATAATGATCAAGGTTTTGAAAGATTGCAGTGAGACCACAGCAAGATCCAACATCCCATATTGTCACTTTTAACACATTCTTAAACTTCCAGCCACCACTAATGTTTAGGAATATAGTATTGTAACAATACACACACACACACACACACACACACACACTCACACGCATTCTTTCTCTTCACAAATGTAAGATAAAACTGTACATACTTTAATATAGCTAATGTTTGAAATAGTAGATCACACTTTCTCCTATATGAAAACTTTATTTCCAATGGCTTGTGAAACTTTATATACATATATTACTTAATTTAGTCTCCAATGTTATCTATGGTGTGCTGAGTGCATTTGGAGTTATTATTACACGCATCTCATTTATTTGCTGTGTAAGGATTTTATGAGATGGTTCATAAGTTAAGAGCACTTGCTGTGTAGTCAGGAAGACTAGAATAAAGGTCCTACCACCCATACTCCATACAAATGTCCTACCCATGCCTGTAACCCCAGCTCGGAGGGGTATAGAGACAGGAAGATTGCTGGAATTGTCTAGCTTCCAGTACACATGGAAGACATGGGCTCCAGCTTGTGGAGCGATCTTGTATCAAAGGAGTAAGTGCATAGTGACAGATGAGGGGTCTACACCCTCTTCTGGTGTCTGCATGTATGCATAGGCTCATACACCTATAAACACACGTGCACGCACACACACACACAAATATGACTAAATCTTTTAATATGGATATAAAGTAGTATCAACAAATCTGTAAGTCTAAACTGTCTTGATATGCAGTGCTACTTGTCCACATACCTATTTCAGTTCTAGTAAGAGTATGTCCGCCAGCACTGAGATGCACCTCCACATGCTTATCCTCATCTTCCCGAGGAATTCTCCTAAATCAGAGACCTCTATCCAGACCAAACCAGGATTCATGGTTTGGATGCAGAATAGAATTGTGAAACTAGCTAGTATGATGAGACAGAGCTGGAGATTTTGTTGAAGATATTTTAATAGGGCATTAAACACAAGGATTAAGAGAAAGAGGCACCCATGGAAAGAAAGGCACACCCAAGAGCATGGATGTGACTTTCCCTAAGTGAGTTCCAGAGACTAAAACACATCCATGCATGGATATGAACTCCTCAAGGGAGTCACAGAAAATAAGACATACACAGAGTATAGAATCATAGAAAACGAGGCATCCCAAAGTTGTGGATATGAACTCCACAAGGTAGACATACAATTAATGGTCTTAGCATTAACCACATATACTCTTGTGGTGGCTCTCATTTTACAGTTTAAATTGTTACTAGCTAAGAAACTTTTTCCTTCCTCTTTCTCTCTCTTTTGAGAATTGAGATTATATGGTGGCCTTTGATGAATGCAAATCTGGTAGATATAACCATAAGGTACTGTGGCCTCACAGAGGTCTTAGTGCATGCCTTTTCTCTGCAAATGGGGTTTCTAATGAGATTCTAGAAACATACAGGTTTACAGCGGGGAAGAGAGAAAGTGAAGGAGTTGTTAATTGTGCTAACATTCTTCCTTCATTTCTGGCAAGAGGCTTCTGATTTCTGAGTGAGAGGCTCTGTCTTTCTCATGTCCCAAAATTTTCCCGTCTTTTTATCTTGCCTCATGTAGGTATTGTTTAGTATAGATGTAAAAGCTCCTATATTGTCTTTACTTGCAATCTACGTGCTTTTTAATCTTAATTGCTATAGAGGCCAGGCTGGCCTGTGGTTCCCGGTGTGTGCCACTTGCTCTTTTTGAACCTTGTCAGCTCTTTGTTTCCAATGGACACGGTTATAGTCCTGATTGACCTAGACCTCCTTTTGTAGCCTCAAATCCTAGAAATCCTCCTGTTGCTGCCTCTTGAGTTCTGAGATCACAGGTTTGCACCACCACATCCAGCTTGATTTCATGTTGTTGGTCTTTTTTCCATCCATCCATCCATCCATCCATCCATCCATCCATCCATCCATCCTCCATTCATTTATTGTGTGTGTGTGTGTGTGTGTGTGTGTGTGTGTAGGTCTGTGTAGTAAATTAGAGGCCTGAAGCTAAGGATTTTTGATTGTCTAATAAGTCCTTTACCCCCTTTCTGTTTGTTACTCTTGTGCCTGTCATAAACAAAGGTTACTGGAAGGAGACACAGCACTACACTCACCTGCAGCAGCCTGAGTAATTCTTTTTAGGGACTTCCACTTAAGTGAAGACAAGATTCTTGACTACAATAGGAATTTCAGGCTGAATCAGTAGGAGTGTATTAGGAAGAAAGTTCAGCATAGATTTGAACATGGGTGTTAACAGAAAGAAAGGTGTTCTGGGAAAGGATAAAACACACCCGCGCTCATGAGTTTGGGCTTCTCAAGAAAACACCCCCCCTTGAATACCTTAGCAGTGGCTGAATATAAGATTTTAGAGGCCTTTCCAAATATATACTTTGAGATGTTTCTTGTAACACCTCTCCTTTGTCTCTTACTTCTTTGTTGATAAGTGTAATAATGGAATAGCTTTGTAGGAGCCTTGGGTATGATTGCAACTTGACAAGGCAAAACCAGGGGTTCTACAGGTTATGCAATGGTGTTAAGACATGCCTTTTATAGTAAATGTGGTAGTTATTGTAAGATTCCTTAATAGTTGAAGGATTATGGCAGACATTCTCTTAATTTTCCTACTCTGCTATCCTAGGGGACTTCAAAGATCTGATTGACTTCCCTCCGCTACAGCTTTAAAACTATTCAAACAAAAATGTATGCACAGCACTCCTTTATCTAAATTGCTTCAGTGGCTCCCATTATTCTTAGGTTAAAGGTTTAAGCTAAAACACAGCATAAAATACCCTACATGATTTTGCCTCATTCTCTACCATTTTAACAAGAGGGAACACATTTAGCCTTTAATTAAGTATCATCATGTAGGTCATGGCTTAAGAGTAACTTCCAGCGAAGCATGGTGGCACACACCTTTGATCCCAGCACTCAGGAGGCAGAAGCAGGTGGATCTCTGAGTTCAAGGCCAGCCTGGCCTACAGGTTCCAAAACTACAGAGAAACAAACAAACAAACAAACAAAAAATCTGTTCTGATTTTACTCTGTGCTTCTGTCTACTAGAAATTGCATATTGCTTCCAAGCTAATGTTTCCCTCCATTTTGTCATTTGTATGCACAAGGTTTCTAATTCAGAAGGCCTGATACAGGTCTAAAAACCTGACTTTTTGTAAAAGCTCTCCCAGATAAGTCTGATTAATTATGGAATCATAAGAATTGCTGACACACATAAAAAGGTACACTTAAAATTAGGAATAAATAAATGGTTATGAAAGCGGAGTTAGAATCAAATGGATATGGATTCAATTAAATTTTGACTTTTACTATTGTGTTTGATCTTGGCAGCTTGCTTAGCTTTTAAATGTGCATGCTTCCTCACTTACAAAATGGAAATAACATCTACTACATAACATTGTAGTAAGGAGAAAATTAGATAATTTATGTAAATTTTCATTTTCATGCCTAGTGCCTTATATATATACTAAGCATTCCATAAACATTAGCATCATGTTGTTGTTGTATGTAAGTCATTCAGTTTCTCATTCAACATATATTTATTCACTATGTGTCTAACATTGTTTTTAGGAACTATAGAAGATATAAATGGTACCAAATAGGATCCTTATTGCTGTTTTTCTTAAAAGTAGTTGGGAGATGAGCCCAAGGATGTAACTTGGTTGGAAGAGTGTTTACCTAGCATCCACAAAGCCTTGGGTTGAATCCCCAGCACTTCTTAAATTGGCACATGCCCATCTTCCCAACCTTCAGGAGATAGAAGCAGGAGAATCAGGAGTTGACAGTTATTCTTGGCTATGTAACAAGTTCAAGACTTGCCTGAGATACAAGAAATTTTAACTAAGTAACTAACTAAGGAAATAAATAAATGAATGGGAAAGAAGGAAAGTACTAGTTTGAAATATAAAATTACTACAAATTATGCAATCAGAATAATATAATGAAATATAAATGTAAAAGATAAAATAATGAATAGTATTAATGGGAAGCCATTAATCCAACATGTTGGTTTGTTAGTTAGCATGAAAAAAGAGATGTAGAAAAACAATCTTAAACTGCTCTTACTAAGCCAGAAGAGGTCTACTTTGATGCTGCCTGCCAGATGGAAAATGATGCAGAGGGGAAAAAATCCTGTATTTACTTCTCAAAATTAAGACAGGATGGAGGAGTGTGTTTGAGGGGTGAACATATGTGTATAAATATGGTATAAGTCTTAATTGGTTCCTTATGATTAAAATTGAAACTGTTTCCGTTGGAAAGGCAGAGATATGGTATTTTCACTTACAAGTGATTTATTTTTACCTTGTTAAACCAGAAATCAAACACTAGATGAAGGTTCCAAGCCCATTTTGATGTATATTGATGTATTTTTTTTTCCTTTTCAGGGTCGCTATGGCAACTGCATCTTCTCAAGTTCTGATTCCAGACATCAATTTTAATGATGCCTTTGAAAATTTTGCTTTAGATTTTTCTAAAGAAAAGAAACTATTGGAGGGGCTAGACTATTTAACAGGTGTGAATGTACTGTGCTTTCCTTTTTATTTATTTTTTTAATTTCTGTGCCCTTTTAGTCTAATATCAAAAGGAAAAGATTTACGATTAGAAGTTTTAAATAAAGGTACATAACACATGTACCTTTTCAGAAAAGATCAGGTATGTTCAGGGTGGTATGGTTATGGACCACATGTACTATTTTAGAAACAATATATTTTAGTTCATGTTACATAAAAGAAAAGTGGACATCTGGGACACTGTGGCTCATTGGCAAAGAGCTTGACCAGTATTTTATGTAGTTCAGTCCGCACTAAAAAGGAATAGTTTTATCGAAACCAATTTGTCAAATTCATTTCTTATAAAATAACATGTTATTTCCCTGAACTATTAGGACTCAGGTTTAGTTTTCCAGATAAAGTTTTTATGTATCAAATAGGTGTCAGAAGTGACAGCTTGTAATTTTTAAACTGATTGAAATAAAGACTAATAGTTATCCATGAAGAAGAATACAAAGAAAGTATAGGATGAAGCCAGCTTGTTAAAAATTCTAGCTACTTTTAGGATTACTCAATGGTCATTTCTTGAGAACAATCTACGCACAGTAACCTTATTGTTTTAGCTATGTTGTTATTATACCAGTGCAGCTCTTACTTGTTATCTACTTCATTCCAGACTCTATATATTTATTTTGTATCATTATTCTTCATAACAAATCTATGTGGTGATGCTTATTTTACAGTGGGAAATTCTTATTAATTTGCATTTTAAATACTACCAAATGTCTAGGAAAAGATTATTTTGAAATAAAAAGATGATGAAGCCCATGTAACAAGAAAATAGTATTTTTCTCAGCTATCTATGTATGTGTTTTTATGGGCATTTTAGAAAAGCAGAGAAACAATCACAATTACTTAGTCTTATATATTTGTTACAAAAGTAGCTGGGGAGAGCTTATGGTCTTATCACTTTGCTTCAGTCTGTATGGTTCTTGCCAAAGTTTGTCTACTAAGACAATTTCTCCAGAGCTGGGGATGTTGCTCTGTGGTATGTGCTTGTCTAGCATGGGCTTAATTCCCCATGACTGTAAACAAATACAAGAAACAAAAACTCCTACCTCTTCTGAAGAGACAGGGTATTTCCTTACCATTTTCTCTCCTTTTTTTTTTTCAGCCCCCAATCCACCATCTATCCGAGAAGAACTCTGTACTGCCTCCGATGACACCATTACAGTGCACTGGATCTCAGACGATGAGTTCAGCATCAGCTCCTATGAGCTTCAGTACACCATATTCACTGGCCAGGCTAACTTCATCAGTAAGTCATGGTGTAGTTGGGGCCTGTGGCCAGAGATAAGGAAATGTAAGGAAGCAGTAAGCTGCTCAAGATTGGCCGGTGCGCCACGAGGCAAGTGTTTGTAAGACATGTGAGGTTGTTTAGTATAGACTTTCATAGACAGTGTAAGCTCCCCAGGGTTTTGTAAAACATTACTGATGGTGACAAGCCACTTGTGTATTTTCTTGCTGGGGAGTCACTGGAATAAGCCATAATGGTTTATGTAATCCTTAGCCTTTTCTCAGTCCATACCACAACATTGATCCAAAGTGCTGCTTAATATCTATCTGTTCCTGGGTAACTAAGTCACCATCATTCTGTGTGTGAACCTCTCTCTCTCTGAGTCTCCTTCCACTTCATTATCATGATAAAATTATGTCCAAAGACCATTACTTCCTTTATTATACCTATTTGTGTTTATTCATCTCTTTAGTACTTCTGCATTTCCACAAATAATTCCAGTAAATATAAAACCATGACAGAGCCAGGTACAGTGGTTCAAGCTGATAATTCCAACAAAAAGGAGGCTGAGGTAGTAGAATTGCAATTTCAAGAGCTGTGTCATAAAGTAAAACAAAACACCGTACCAATGGATCATAGTTAGAGATGTTTAAAAGGCTGTTTTTCAGTCCATGTGTTAAGATGGTTTCATCTTCTGCTGAACTGGGGCAAGACCAGCCATAGTAAGAAATGAACTGATTGATTGCTTTCAGTAGGCATTAAACAGAAAAGTCCCCTCAGTTCACAGGAAGGGGGGCGGGGTGGAGGAAGAGGAAGCAATGGAAATTAAATCAGTCTTTTTTTTTGTCCCAGCCAGCTCCCAAATAATGACATGGAGTCTTATTATTAATTATGAAAGCTTGGCCTTTAGCTTAGGCTTGTTCTAGTTCTTATAACTTAAATTAACCCATATTTTATTCATCTATGTTCTATTACGTGACATTCCATCTTGTCTCTTCCATCTTGAATCTCCTGTTTCCTCTCTGTCTCTGGAACCTCTATTATCTCTTCCTCTTTCCGCTCTCTGCTCAGAAGTCCTACCTGTATACCTCCTGCCTAACTAATGGCCGTTCAGCTATTTATTAGGCCAATTACAAAAATTTATCTTCACACACTGTACAAATATCCCATAACAGGAACAAAGCAGGATCAAAGATGTTTTCAAGCAGTTACTTTTGCAAAGCTACAAATTAATAGTTTCTTTTACTTTGCACTTTGTATTTATGTTTATCCTCACAGACCAATATGAGTAGACTTTAATCAAATAAACCCTCCTTATGGGCTTTCTTTTCTTATTTGGTGACAATTCATGGGCAGAATTCTGTTTTGTGACAGTGGGGAGGACAGTCAAGAGGCTATTTGTGAGTAAAACATAAAATTCATGCCTCATGCAGCTCCAATATAAGCCACTTGGATCATGTAGCATGTTCCTGAATACCCCTTCAGAGGTCACAAGCTCTATAAGTTCTGGGAGGCAATGTCAAAGATAGGAACTGTCCTTTGCCTTCCTGATAGGGGAAGAGCAATCATCTCCCAGAGTGAATGAGAACTGACAAACTAAAAATTATCACCTCTGTCTCAAAGCTATAGAGTCGTTTGTAATAAGGCCTAAAGAAGTTGCTACTAATGCTACTAATAATAAAGTTAATAGCATCTTAGAGTTGGAATGAGCCCTCAAAAATAATTAGCCTAGTCTTCTCTTCCATCAGATAAGTAAACATCTCTGCTTGAATGTTGCCAGTGAGTGTGTGTTCATTTTCATGAAAACAGTTCATTTGATTGTTGAGAAGCTATACATTATTTCCAGTACTTCCTTGGAAGAGGCCCGTTTCTCTTTGTAAATAATGATAGAATTAAAGCTGTTAATAAGGACAGAAGTAAAGCTGTGTGTGCTTTCTGCTTTGCCATGTTCACAAATAGTCTCTCTCATTTAGTCCTCATGTGCTCTTAGCCTTCTTAAAGAGATTTTATATGTGAAGAAATTGGTGCTCAAGTCAAGTGAGTTTCCCAAGGACATGGAACTCCAAAATGATGAGGTCAAGATCCAAACCCGTGACTGCCAGACTTCAAGTTTGTTATACCTTAATGAATCTTTTTGTGTGTCACTAACAAACTTATTCCTTCTTTCACATAACAGTTTCTCAGGTATTTTAGGTAACTCATATGTAACTACTAAAGTTACATTTTTATGACTCAATAGTTTAGTTCTTTAGATGCTCCTTGTACAATATGTTTTTCAGATCCTATTAGCATAGTATTCTTTTTTATGAACAATCTTCTGTTGGTCAAAGTGCTTTTAAAATGTGCTTTCTGTCAAAAGTGACTGTAAGTACTCCAAAAGTGGTTTGACTTCCCCAGAGGATAGATGAATTGTGTCTTTTTTCCTCTTCTGAGACCAGGGTCTCTTGTAGTTCAGGCTGGCCTTGAATTTGCTGTGTAGCAGAGAGTGACTTTGAACTTCTGATTCTTTTCAGTACTGCCTGAGTGCTAGGATTGCAGGCATGTACTACCTATCACATCTGGTTTTATGTAGTGCTGGAGAAGGAATCTAGAGCTCTCTCCATACTGGGCAAGCATTCTACAAACTCAGGTGTGTCGCCAGACATATTTCTTGTCATGAGCCACTTCCCTCTTGTTCTGTCTGTACATTTTTGGCAGCTACATTGACTACTGAATGTTTCCAAGTATACACTTAACTGAGATTCCTATGTATGATAAGTTCTATATCCATTCAACCCAAACCTTTCAATTTATGCCTATTGCATTTTATCTTGTTACCCTTGACTCTGCATCCTGTTATGCCCAGACCCCCTTACATCTTGTTTCTACCTTGCAGTACATTTGATTTTCCTCTCAATCCTCCTGCCTCAGACTCCCAGAGTACAGGGATAATAGGAATGTGCCCCCTACCCGGTCATCTTGTTGATGAAGTTAAGCTGAAAGAGGTAGCTCTACTTCCCCATTTTCACTTTTTCCATTGACTTGAGCTTTCCTACTACCTCTTGTAAGATTTAAATGACTACAATCAGTAAGGTTTCAGACCATACTCTTGAATGAGAACTCCAACAGTTGTCTGTCTTCCTGGTTGCTACATTATCTTTCTGGCTCAGTGTGTGTGTGTGTGTGTGTGTGTGTGTGTGTGTGTGTGTGTGTGTGTGTGTGTTTTAAGATTCATTTATTATGTATAGTGTTCCCCCTTTATATATCCATGCATGACAGCAGAGGGCACCAGATTTCATTATGGATGGTTGTGAGCCATCATGTGGTTGCTGGGAATTGAACTCAGCACCTCTGGAAGACAAACCCCTGAGCCATCTCTCCAGTCCTGCTTTTTTTGTTTGTTTGTTTGTTTGCATTCCTAGAACATTGGGCATAATCTGGTTAGGCAGTCTGTATCACTTTGATACAAAAGAAAGAACTTCATCACTATCTTTTCCCTGATGCAGTTGTCTCCGTCACACATGTACACCTTGTCTCTTCAATTTTCATGTTTTGGCATTTCCCTTTGAATAAGAGGTGTGCTTTCATTTCCATGATTCACTTGTAGGGGCCATCATACCAAGTCTTACTGATACCCACAAAATGGTTTATTTTCCTTTATAAACTTAGGAGTGCTATTGAGGGAGATAATTCAGTGGTAAATTGTGAGCACCTGAGTTCAGTCCCCAGAACCTGTGTAAATACATCTTAGTATGATTAATACACTTGTAATTCCAGTGCTGGGGAGGTAGAAATGGGTAGGTCCCAGGGGCTTGCTGCCCAGACAAGCTAGCCTACTGGATTAGTCCCAAGCCATTGAGGGACTCTATGTCAGAAAAAAAAATAGTGCCTGAGGAATGACACCCAGGCTTGTCTTCCATCCTAGACACACACACACACACACACACACACACACACACACACACACACACACACAGAATGATTTCAAAATTAAAGAAAAATTGCAATACCTGTACAAAGAACACCCTGTACTTTTTACCCATATTTGCTTGCTGGTAATATTTTACTTTTTTTTTTATCTGTTACCATTATCTCTGTATTTTTGGAACCGTTTGAGAATAATTTGCATCCATTACATTTTTCAACTCTATATTCTTCAATGTAGATTTCCTATAAGGAAATTGTTTTGTGTGTGTGTGTGTGTGTGTGTGTGTGTGTGTGTGTGTGTGTGTTTGACAATTTCATATATGTAACAAGAGTATTGTGATTGCTCTCCCTGACATCCTCTCTATCTCATATCTCTATTAACTCCCGCCATCTTGTTGAGTGCCTTTCCCAGAATCATAACTTTTGATTTTGTTTAACCAGAGCTATCTGTATGACCATTAGATTGGAACTGTCCATCTAAGCCCTGTGGGGGCATTAATGTGTATATACCTTAAGGCAGTGATTACCTCTCTTTCCGAATCTAGCAGTATCAAATCCTTTTTATCAGTGAAGGGTAATGTTCCTGAACCTTTCTTCCATCCATGCCTGACTGGTGATAGGCCCACTCTTTTTTTTTGTTTTTTTTGTTTTTTGTTTTGGGGTTTGTTTATTTATATATGTTTATTTTATGTATATGAGTGGTAGCCTGGATATATGCACATGCACCATCTGTGGTGTTTGTGAGGCCAGAAGAAGGCATAAAATCACCTAGAACTGGTGTTACAGAGTCCTGAGCTCTCACAGACCCATTCTTATGCAGACTCAGAGCCAGCATCCACACTTAACTATGAGTTATCATTACACTGGTTTAGTGTGGCTGAGAAGATGGCAAATCACACCTCTGCTCTCTATCTTCTTACTCTTACATTTTTTTCTGTCCTTTCTTCTCCAAAGTTCCTAATCCTTTATACATCTGTCAACTTTAAGAAATTTAATATCAGAGACATGTGGATCTCTGTGAGTTCAAAGCCAGCCTGGGCTGCATCGTGAAATTCTGTCTCAAAAACTCAAAAACCACATAATACTTTTATATAGCTCTCCATTTGTATTCCAGGTTTCACAATTAATTCATTCATTTTCATTATAATATAAAAAGAGCCCAGCATTGACCTTGATAATCTAGGCTTTAGCTGTACTTTTAATTATTGTATATTTGGCTTTCTTTAGCCCAGTAGACTTCCTCAGTCCTCCTTTGTCTCAGATAATGTTTATCATTTAAAACAATGCCTATTGTCTTTTTTATTTTTTAAGATTTATTTTTCTTAGTTTACATATCAATCTCAGTCCCCTTTTCCTCCCTCCCTCCCTCGCTGTCTCCCACCATCTCATGCCCCCACCACCACCCTCCCATCCCATCCCCCCACCACACTCCACATGTAGGGTGCTGCCTTCTAGGAGGGGTCATCTAAATCTGTCAAGTCATGTGGAGTAGGGACTAGGCTCTCCTTCCTGCCTCTAGGTTAAGGGAGTGTCCCTCCATGGGGGATGTGACCCAAAGTCCTTTCGTGCACCAGGGATACATCCTGGTTCCACTGTTAGAGGTCCCTTAGACTGCTCAGTCCTTCTAACTGAGACCCATGTCCAGGGGGTCTGAGTCGGTCCAATGCTGGATTCCCAGCTATCAGTCTGGGGGCCCATTAGCTCCTCCTTGTTCAGGTCAGCTGTCTGTGGGTTTCTGTAGCCTGGTCTTGTCCTCCCTCTCTGCATCTGGATTCCAGTTCGGCTCAGTGTTCAGCTGTGAGTGTCTGCTTCTGTTTCCATCAGCTACTAGATGAAGGCTCTATGATGGTGGATAAGTTAATCATCAATCTCATTATCAGGGAAGGGCAACAATGCCTGTTTTCTAGGTGTGGTGGTACACATCAATAATTCCAGGCAGGAGGATTACAGCCTAGGACCAGCCTAGGCTATATAGGAAGACTCTATCATTTTTTAAATTAGGGTTTATCTGATACTTCCTCACAGTTATATTCCTTGCATGCATTCCTCACTGCAATAGTGCATAGATGATGGAATGTAACAGTAACAGTATACTTCTTAGGACATCATGTCTGGATGGATGCAATGTCCGTTTACATTACATTTTGGTGCTAATTTTGATTACCTGACCTTTTTAAAATTGTGTATTTCTGTTTTTTTTGTCTGCTATCAAGAAGCAATCTGTATGGTGATGTTTAAAACCATTAAAAATACACTGCTTCTTCATCAAACCCATCTCACCTCACTCTCACCCCCAATTGAGCATCAACTGATGATTTTTGTTCTATACAGTCTTTATATGATGATTGTGAAATGACAGTTTTCCAGTGGAGGACTCTTTCCCACGCTTACAAACTGTCACTCAATATTCCTCTGTGTAGCAAGAGCCTCTCCCCATTTTGTTTTTTTTTTTTAATTTATTCATCGCATTTTCATCAGTGATATAGATTTTTTAATACCTCCATTTTTCTTGTGTAAATTTCCAGCGAGAGCCTTTCAAGGCAACTCCAGGGTTTGAGTGAGCCTTTTTTTCTGGTCAAAAAAAAAATTGCAGACTCATTTTAACTGTATCCTGCCCAAACCTTCAAATCAGCTATTTTCCCAGAAGCCTTGGTTACTTTTAGTAGGACACTGATATTAGAAACTAAAGCCTTAGTGTACACACACACACACACACACACACACACACACACACACACACACACACTCTAAATTGTTATTCTTATGTTGTGATAAAGCATCATGACAATAGCAACTTACAGAAGAAGAGTTTATTTGGGCTTATGGTTCCAGTGGCTTAGAGTCTATGATGGCATAGCTAAGGTATGGCAGCAGGAACATCAGGCTGATAACTCACATATTGAACTGAAACAGGAAGCAGAAAGAACGAACTATGAATGGCACATGGCTTTTAAAAACCTCAGTGACACACTTCTTCCAACCATACCTCCTAAAGCTATCCACACAGTGCTACCAAAGGCAGATTAAGTATTCAAGCATCTGAGCCTATGGGAAACATTCTCATTAAAACCACCACATATACATATGTATATCGAGGAAGAGCTAAAAACATGTCCTATCAGAGCAAGCAGATTCTGTCCTGCTTTGTCATGTCATTTTGACTCCAGCAGATTAGGACAGTAAGGGTGCATTTGAGGTGCAAATGCAGAGTAATATAGCTCTGAAAGTCTATCTTATAGGGAGAAAGGGCTATATATGGTCATACACACACACACACACACAAACACACCACCGCAGGATACAAAGATCACAGGGTTCTACTTTGAGCACCATCTATGAGCATGGGCAAATCCTTCCATCCTGTTTACCCTGTGAAATGAAGGACATTCATACCTAGGTGGCCTTTCTGCTCTGAGCTTTCATGTTGCTGAGCTATGTACAGAAACTGTTCTGCCCATGCAAGAGCAGACTGAGTTCACACAGAAACGGACTCCAATAGTAAAGATACATAACTGCAGGGATTCCACCATTTGCAATAGTGACCATTCTTGTGTTCCTTGGCAGAAAAATGGTAAAAATTGGCTTTGGTGAGTGGTGGCTAGGTGCCAGAAGCCTGGCACACATCTAAGTGTATGACAAATAAATAATAGAATCATAAGTCCTGGTTCATCTCATTGCCTGTTTCAAGGCTCAGAAGAAAACAAAATGAATTCACATGGGTGGGTTATGATTGATTTTCATTGTTTTTCTTTTAATCCTGGCTTTTTATGATAATTTTTATTTAAATTTGAAATAAGCTTGTTTTACATGTCAATCCCTATTCCCTCACCTTCCTGTCCTCCCCTGTTCCCTCCACCAACCCCCACTCCATCCCCTTTCTGCTCCCCAGGGTGGGTGAGGCCTTCCATGGAGGATCTTCAAAGTTTGTCACATAATTTGGAGCAGAGCCTAGGCCTTCCCCATGTGCCTAGGCTGAGAGAGTATCCCTCTATGTGGAATGGGCTCCCAAAGTCCATTCCTATACTAGGGATAAATACTGATCCACTACCAGAGGCCCCATAGACTGCCCAGTCCTCCTAACTGATACCCACATTCAGGGGGTCTAGGTCAGTCCTATGTTGGTTTCCCAGCTGTCAGTCTCAGGGTGCATGAGCTCCCCCTTGTTCAGGTCAGCTGTTTGTGTGGGTTTCTCCAGCCTGATCTTGACCCCTCTGCTCATCACTCCTCCCTCTCTGCAACTAATCCTGGCATTTTTTTAAACCTGTTGATTGATGCCTTTGTCTTTCTCCACTTTATAGGCCTGTACAACTCAGTGGATAGCTGGATGATTGTGCCCAACATTAAACAGAACCATTACACAGTTCACGGACTCCAGAGTGGCACACGCTACATCTTTATTGTGAAAGCCATAAATCAAGCTGGCAGCCGGAGCAGCGAACCCACCAGACTAAAAACAAACAGTACGTTGTGGAGATTCTAAGAGGAAAGACCCATTTTCCTCTCTGTGCCAGGGAGGACAATTAGCCTGAGAGACTCCCATCATAATGTGTGAGAGCAGTGGTACTGAGTGGAGGAGCTTTACTGTTGTGCTTTGTGTATGGGATTTGTTGGTACCCATGGATGTTTGCGGGCTAAGATATATAGCATAGCATGTGACCTAGAAAGAGGTTAGGGAAGGGTTTTCCTCTGCCTTCCATCCCTGTGTCCCATGCTTGGAAGAAAAAGTTAGTTAAAGAGTATTACTTATTACTGTCTACAAATCACTTCTTCTTCTTCTTCTTCTTCTTCTTCTTCTTCTCCTCCTCCTCCTCCTCCTTCTCCTCCTCCTCCTCCTAATCCTCCTCCTCCTGTTCCTCCTCCTTTTTCCTCCTTCCTCCTCCTCCTTCTTCTTTTAAAAAGGTTTATTAATTCTATATGCCTGCATGCCATATCTCATTATTATAGATAATTGTGAGCCACCATGTGGGTGCTGGGAGTTGTACCCGGGTCTTCTGGAAGAGTAGCCAGTGCTCTTAACCACTGAGCCTTCTCTCCAGCTCAGGAGTGTTCTTGATTACAACTGATAAAGTTTAACAAGTATTTCCAAGTAGCTTAAGTGAATAGTGGTTTTAATTATTTTGTTTGTTTTTAACATACATACCAAGAAGTTTGAGGACAGCCTGTTTGTGGCTAGTATAGCAGCTTTGAGAGCTCATGGAAGGTTGGAGCTCCTTCTTTGTGCATTGGTTTATTCACAAGACCTCCAGATGGCCAGTGCAACTGCAGATGTCGTATTTCCCTTAAGATAGGAAGAAGGGAAAAGTTGGTAATCTTTTAATCAGAAAACAGAAGCTTAACTGGAAATTTCTTCCAATCTGTTTGACGTCAGTGTCCTTCTTATTAGCTATCCCTAGCAGCAAGGAAGCCTGGAAGACTGAGTGAGAGAGAGAGAGAGAGAGAGAGAGAGAGAGAGAGAGAGAGAGAGAGAAAGAAAATAAGGAGTAGACACTGCATTAGCACACAGTGTCTGTCACAGAGGCATATTGTATACCAAAGCTCTTGCCCTACCCAGCACCTGGGCCCTGTGACAGTGTTTTTGTCATAGGGTTATGAGTTTCTGCAGCGAATCTTTGATGATGGAGCAGTCACTGTAACAAAGTCACTTAATGACATGCACACCCTAATTTTGAGAAAGCGAACATCTCCTGCACAGTTTTTCTTTAGTGAGCAATTGCCTCATCAACACAGAGACTTTTCAACCTCAAACAATGCAGCACTCTTTAAAATCTACCTACAACCCCACCCACTCACTGAAATAAACCAAAGTACCAAACATATTTGAGGATGTGAGACTTTGAGTGGTCCCTTTTAGGTTCAAAATATATGATGGGAACACTACTAGCTCCCTTGTGCTTGGGCTATTGCTTCTATCAAAAGATTAATAAGAGAGCCCTACATTTTTCATGCAGATGGAAAATAATGCCCGAATGAAGGTCATTTTAGTGGGGGGATGACTTGTATTCTTACTTAATACAAATTGTGTCGTCTTGTCTGCTTCCTTAATGTAATCCACATTCCAGCTGACCTGCATTTAGTCATGTTGGAGATCCTCTGCTAATGATTGATGGTCCAGGAGGAAAAGGCACAGTTCTTAAAGCCTTGATCGTGATTTTCCCCTTTCTTTTACTTTTTTCAGGCCAACCCTTTAAACTAGATCCCAAAATGACTCACAAGAAGTTGAAGATCTCCAATGATGGGTTGCAGATGGAGAAGGATGAAAGCTCTTTGAAGAAAAGCCATACCCCAGAGAGATTTAGTGGAACTGGGTGTTATGGGGCAGCAGGAAATATATTCATTGACAGTGGCTGCCACTACTGGGAGGTGGTCATGGGTTCTTCAACATGGTGAGTGGCTATTGGTTTTTTTCCTTCTCCCATCTTCTCTGCTGTTAAGTTCCTAGGAGATTCCAGTCTATAGCACAGCTAAAATACCAATAAGTCAAGGTTAAGGGATACATGATAAGAACCAGTGCTAGAAAACGTAGCCAGCTTTTAAAAGATAAAATCATGGGAAATATAGTGGGTTAGAAGGTGGGAAGTGCTGTAGCACTGATTGCTGATTGCGGGCTTTACAAGATCTGATGATATTAACATTATGTATGTAAATGTAAATAAATGTTTTAAGGGAGAAGCACACACATAGTGAGTCACTCATAGGTCTGAAATAATGTCTAACACAACTCATATCATCTCTAAATAGTTTTCTGTCTTCTCCACTGTTCTCAGGTACGCAATTGGTATTGCCTACAAATCAGCTCCAAAGAATGAGTGGATTGGCAAGAATGCCTCTTCCTGGGTCTTCTCTCGATGCAATAGTAACTTCGTGGTGAGACATAACAACAAGGAAATGCTGGTGGATGTGCCCCCACAGCTGAAGCGTCTAGGTGTCCTCTTGGATTATGACAACAACATGCTATCTTTCTATGACCCAGTTAACTCTCTCCATCTCCATACTTTTGATGTGACTTTCATTCTTCCAGTTTGTCCAACATTCACAATCTGGAACAAATCCCTAATGATCATGTCTGGCTTGCCTGCCCCAGATTTTATTGATTACCCTGAGCAGCAGGAATGCAACTGCAGGCCTAAAGAATCCCCCTATGTGTCTGGGATGAAAGCTTGCCATTAAGTGTCAAGAGAGCACGCAATTCACTGGCTCTCCACTTCAGCATTTATCCCTTCTTAAGCTTCCATTAGTGTTCCGTATGTGAGATACAAAGTAAAGTTCATTGGAAGCACCCTATGTAACTAGAGAGCATAGATTTAATTTTTATGCATTAAAGCCTCTATTTGGATTCATGTATTGAGTTACTCAGAACAAATTATCTGAATATTCTGGGTTCATGCCATTGGGGAAGAATTTTAGAGAATATCACTGTCATTGGAAAATTAAAAATTCCCAGTGGTTTGGGAGTATAAATGAAACTGGAAGGAATTAGCCTTTCTAGCAGTGGCTAGTCTGACCAGATAGAATTTGCACAGTGTCAAATTATCATATATGTCACTTTTTAGTGAACTAACAATCAAGGTGTTATGAGAGTATCATACAGGTGTATATATAATATATAAAATGACTGAATTCATTTATGAACAAAATGGCATAGATCATTTTATCTATTACATATATACAATGAACCTTAATTTGTTCATTTAAGTAAGAAATATATTGAAAAGGAAAATAAATTATACTGACCATTCTTATCCCCCTAGATGAAACATCAGAGTAGACTGGTGTTTTTCTCTTCCCTTTTAGCCTCCCCTCCTCCTGTCACACATAAAAAACACATGCAATCAAGACACAGGGAAGTGAGAAGAACTCTTGGTTAGATTAAGAGAGATCTGCAGACAAGATTGCATAAGAGATGCTACTGCTACATTGAAAATTGATTCTGGTAGAAGTGTGCTGTGTAGCATAATTTCATTGATATTATCTAATAGAGGAGATTTATTTGAATTATTAAAAATTGTCATAGAATATTTCAAAGAAATATAGTTTTGTTACTCTCAAATACATAATTACTAGACTTAAGCTGAAAAACAGAGTTGCATAATGGAGTTTCCTCAGAATTCGCCTTACTTGATCAGTAAGAATAGTGTTACAGGTTCAACAACGATATGAATACAAATGTACATGTATTTTCAGATGAAGCACTCCTGAAATGCTATTTTCCTCAATAGGATCAATACTCATTCTCGTGTGATTTTGTTTACATTATTCACCCACTTAGCATCCCTTTCATGACAACATAAATTCCATCCTACTTTTCATCACACTAGTTAAAGGAAATTGAGCTTCATGGTCTGTGATTTCACCAATTATTTTGCAGAGATTGAAAATGCAGGACAATTAGAGCCTTCTCCCAAGAGCAAAGTTCATTCCTTGGTAGTTGTAAAATGACGACTACTACTATGTAATTGTAAAGTGATAATAGTAGGCATTACCTGGATTGTATGTAGCCTTGATGCAGTGTCAAGCCTGTCCCCCTCTTTCTACCCGCATGGTGGATTCTTACTTATTAATTTGTTCAATGAATTATTAGATGCCACACCACTGCTTCAAGAGTGCACATATTACTAAAATATAGTCCTTGCCGACAAATGACTCACTTTTATTCTCAAGAGACAACATATCTCTATAAATCCCACAAAGTAACACTTATCGATTGTTTGCTTACCTACCACGAAAAGTGAGATCAGTGCCGAGCAAAAGAAAGGCTCAGATTTAAATGTCAAGTGGCAACGTCAGTTTCTTTGGCTTTCAATATATTCTGTACCTTGCAGCTCATCAGGGAATGAGCAACTCAGTAAAGCTCAGAAGTGCTGGTAACAAGCATGTGGTATTAGAAAAGCTCCTAGCCTGGAGATTGAGATAGTCCTAGCTTATTTGCCATTTACCTAGCAGTGTGACCTCAGGAAAGCACTCCTCCAAGCCTGCTTTCGCTTCTGTAAAATGATTTTTATTTTATAAGGCTGGAGCAAAGGTTTTTAAATGTAGTGTCTATCAGTTGCCTAGCACAGCACCTGGCATTCACTCTATGTGCCACCAGCATTCATTTCTTCTCCAACACTATTCATTTATTTTTTTGTGCCCTTTGAAGTTTCAGTTCTAGGAGCAAAGCTTTATTCCCCATTCTGCTTTGGACTGCACCCTGGGACTACCTTTCCTTGTCCCTTCTCTCAGTTAACTAGTGACCTCTCAAACTGGCTTTTGTGGCACTCCTCCAGCACACTGAACATCCCCTCTCAGCAATAATCACATTGTATGGTAATACTTTGCAGAATGTCATTTTCAGAATGCCATCTTCAGAAGGCCCTTTTTAGAACCACCCTTAGTGATTTATTCCTTGAAGCTATTGATTCTTGGCCCGTAATCCTGATAGGCCACCTTAATTAGGCTACCTGGGGACATAAAGAAACTTACATTTGTGACAAGCTTCTCAGGTGATTCTGATTCACACAAAAGTTTAATGTATAATAAATCTCTTCCTGACTAGCGTGGGAATACCTTGAGGGTAAGGACTGTGGCTTTCGTTGTTGTATGTTTAATACCCAGCACGGTGTCTAGAACAAAGTAGTTGCTTGGCTAATGTTTGTTGAAAGAATGTATGAATGAACAAATGAGTAATGAAAATTGCTTTGTTTGACTGTGGTGTCCATTAGTGGTATTTGTTATTTTTGGGCAAGATGGTTACTGATTTAGTCTGTATCAATATTAGTTTGTAAATGTACCAGGGCTCATACATACAAAGGAACACGGTTCCAAATTGGCAGTTATCATGGAGAATTGTCTTTGGACAATTGGTACCATTCTCCCAATAACCTTTCATGTTTTCATGATCTTTGTTGTTCTTTGAAGTTAGATTTAAGTTTTCATTATAGGCAGAGCTAAGCCTACTAAAATAGGCTACTGAAATATAAACTGGGAAATTAAATAGGGTTTGTGGTAAGCAATGAAGCTTGACTCTGAAATCCCAACTTCTGAGGCACGTAATTGAAATGCCTTCCAAGGAACAACATGGTGGCAAATCACTCAGAGGGCTATGATGGCTTCCCGATATTTACTTCAGTAAACTTAAGGACTTTCGTAAAATACTGGCAATGGCAGGGACCAGAGGCTACCTCTAGCTAAAGCCAGTTGCACAAACGGAACATGACCTACATTTAACATCATCAAGACATGTGATTCAATAAATGTGGTTGTTGTGGCTTTACTCAATCTAACTATTCAGAACTTTTTTCTCCTAGAAAACTATTTTCTGTCTGCAATTTATGCTTGTTTCCACTTTTTATATTGTCTTGTTGAAGAAAGCACAAAATAAAGCTAAGCTTGTTTTGAGAATACGACAGACATTTTAATGCCACATTGATGTTCTTGCTACTTGTAAGAGTAACTGCATCTGGCTGTGTTTTATTATGTAATCCCATTGTGTGTCTTTGGATGCAGTGAAGTTCATATTGCAACAAAAATCACTTATATATGCTTTTCAGCTCAAGCATTCTAGGTGAATTTTTCTCAGCTTCCATGGTTTACATATTTGCATATGACTACCTGGATGGATCGATTTATGGATGGACTTTTAAATAAGCTCAGATGCTGAAACCCCCTCTTTCAAGGGATGGAGAATGTGAGGCAGGTAGACATGAACCATTCCCACAATTATTTGTAGCTCCTGAAGCCAATTTCAGCCTGAGAGCCATTGGGCTGTATTTGGCTGTCCATTACAAGTTGGCCAGATTTATTGCCATCAGGTTAGGCAAAACTGCCTTTTATGATGTGGTCTGCCAGCTTCAGAAATATGCTGTGTTATTGTTATTGGCTAGAATATTTATTAGACTATTGTTGGACTATTTTTTATCAAATGCTTTACCCCAGGCTTGTTTGTACTGGGAGCTCTGGACTAAAGTGTCTCTCCTAGTAACAAAATATGAGCATCTGTGGATTACACAGTCTCACCCCTCTCTAAAGATCCCAACCCATCAAAAATGCTATATTATGAATTAAATAAATATATATGTATTCATGAGTTGTTGATTGTCTCTCATTGGAGTTTAACTGGGGAAAAGACTAAATGGAAAATGAGTTGCCAGAATTGGGTAAGTGGCTGAGGGAGGTAGGGGTATGTGTCTGTAAGGATATAGTCAAAATTAAAGAAATGAAGGTCGAAGGTACAAGGGAATGTTATTCATCTAGCTTCAGATATTGTGGTAGAAGGCAATAATCAAAGAACAGTTCATCTATCTCCCACTGCTTGAATCCATTAGTTAAGACCAGAACATGATCACAATTAAGTGAGATGGTTGACTTAGTGTTAAACATCTGGCCTATAAGAGGATCTGGGCGAGTTGAAAGGTTCCTTGGGCCCCATTGGATATATCCTATTTAGAGTTGCAATTGCACTGAGACTAAAGGGTCATGCAATGTGGAGTGAACATGAAAGGTAGTAAAGAAATGGCTTGAAGAACATGATCAGACCAAAGATGCAAAGGCAAGGGAGTTAACCCACAAAGGAGACAAGACTTGAAACACTATGGATTTAATGGCCTGTTAGTGCCTACCAAATATGAAGGTGTAGTTGTCCACAACTAAGGTTTTGATAAAGCATTAGAGAGAGATTGATTAATTTTTGTAAAGGCTAGCTTCATTCAGTGTGATAGTAGAAAAAGCAAGGGTCCTTCATGTCCCCCTACTTAAGAACAGAATCAGTCTCAGAGTATCAGTGAAGTTGTATCCCACATGGTTGAGCAAAAGGTAGCTACGGAGAGTGGCTCTTTATGAATTTCTAGGCATGGAGGATCAAAGTGGCTGGCGCCCGTGGCAGGGTCTGACCAGCTCAACTGCCACCCTGGCCCACACTCAGGGACTTGGTTTGGCCCACCCTGACATCTTTCCCATCTATAACCTGCTGGAGTGTGTGGAGCTATACCAGCATGATCTCCATGTCTTAAGGAGTTTCAGAGAAGGTCCAGTGAGGATGGTGTGCCTGAGGCCTTGAACCAGACCAATGTCTCATCACAGTGAACATTTGCAAGTAAAGCTGATGGGACAGGAGGGTATGCGCCACAATACACATTGGCTCCCAATGCCACTGGGATGAATGGGGAGGTGTTGGAGAGTCAGGAAAGATGGAGGAGCGAGGTGGGATTTTGTTTGTTTTGGTTTTAATTTTTAAACATTTTCGTTTGGGGGAAGGGGTGCTGCAGGGGTGAAGGGTAGATACAGAAGGCCTGGGAAGTGGGTAGAAGTGGGATGCATGATGTAGAATTTCCAAGCAATCAACAGAGAAATCATGTTCCTAGCATTCTTTTTTTTAAAAGTTTGTATTTACTTATTATGCACACAGTGTTATACAGGACACTAGATCTTACAGATGTTTGGGAGCCACCATGTGGTTACTGGGAATTGAACTCAGGACCTCTGGAAGAGCAGCCAGTGCTCTTAACCTTTGAGCCATCTCCCCAGTCCGTTCCTAGCATTCTTTTCATTAGGTGTGTGTGTGGAGGAGGAGAAAGATACTAAGATGAAAAAGTATTGCTAATACTTATAATAGAGTGTGTAATTCAATAATTATTCCATATCATTTTAAATCTCTTGATTTGGTGAATTATTGGTAATTGAGAAAGGACATATTTCTTAGACACACAGATGAGCGTAGAAACTCTTACCAAGATGTATTATAGACACTGTGTCTAGTAAATTCTCGGAAAATGCTGCTAAATAAAATTAGAATAGGACATGATCAGCAAACAGACAAGTAGGCCACCCTGTCCACTTCAAGGTTTGTTTTGCTGACTTAAGCACCACCACATATGTAATCTTTATCAGGCCCTTACTTCTGGCCCAACACTTCCACAGGGTCTTCTTAACATTGTTATTGAAAACTGGGCTCTTTAAATTCAGGGAGCAATTAGATGGACTGAGAAATTAGTCACCAATATTATGCTTATGGAAGAATTTTGGCAAATTATATATGTCCACTGTATGTATTAACATTGCCAACTTAATGGGATCTAGAATAATGAACATCTGGACATGTCTATAGACGTTCCTAGGTGGGGCCAATTGAAGTGGGAAAATCCACATGAATATGGGCAGCATCATTCTGTAGTATGCTGGGGTCTCAGACTGAATAAAAAGGAGGCAAGCAGAGGAAAGCCTTTATCTTTCCTTGTGGATGCAAGGAGGCAGTTGGTGGGGACCTGACTCCTGATCATCATAGACTATGCCATCAAGTGGTGAGTCAGAAGAAGCCCTTTCCTGAGCTTGTTTGTTTATTTATTTTCTTATTTTATATATCGACCCCAGTTCCCTCTCCCTCCCTCTCTTCCTCTCTCCCTCCCTCCCTCCTGCCTTCCATTACTCTTTCCCTCTTTCCCACCCTCCCATGCCACCCACTACCCTTCCATCCCATCCCCCCTCCCTCCACAGGGAAGTTGATGCCTTTCTGGAGGGATCATCTAAATCTGTCAAGTCATTTGGAGTAGGGCCTAGGCCCTCCCTCCTGCCTCTGGCTTAAGGGAGTATCCCTCCATGGGAATGTGCTCCCAAAGTCCTTTTGTGCACCAGGATGTATCCTTTCCTGTGTTTTTATCAGGTATTTTATCGTAACAATGAGAAAGGTAATACTCTTATCAACAACATGTTTTTTTCCCTTCTCAGTAAGCAAGAAAACATTAACGAGGACCTTCTAGAGATAATTCATTATATAATTCAGGGGTGTCAAGGTGAGGATAGAAATTTTGAATTTTCAGGTTTTAAAGGGTCAGCTGAAGCCAGATGTGGTGGCACATACTGGTCATCTCAGTACTTGGGAGGTGGAGAATCAAGAGCTCAATATTATTAGTCTCTGATACATAGGGAATCTTTAAATCAGCCTGAAAAAAACAATAATCAATCAATCAAATCTATCAGCTGATAATATGGTGACAGGCTTATAGTAGACATATTTTGGAACAAAAAGGATCTTTCAGATGATGGAATGTAGATACAAACTCTTCTGTCTGTGAAGCTGGCCTCATATCACACTGCAGAAGCGAGCTGCTACTTCTCCAGCTAAATTAGGAAGCTCAGAAAATGGAACATTCCCTGAGATATAAACTGGTAGGAAACAGCCCATTATAATTTACATGTTTTTGTTCAGTTTAGCTCCTATAGGAATAAAGGAAGATGCTATATATACCAGAATTGTGAAATTTATAGCAAGTAGCTGTCAAAAACACAAGGCAAGGCTAAGTCTGATGCACTGGTAAAGATACAATGAATGATTCAGTGGAAGAAAAACACAGTTAAAAAGTAAAGTTTTTGGTAGCCTCTATTCCAGATACCAAGAAGAGTGCTCTCCCTGCAAAAGACATGAAGATGCCTGTGTATGTTGGAGAATGTTCCATTACTCATAAGCCAAGTCTCCTGACACTATGGGTTGGCTTTATAAAAGGATCTATTCTGAAGAAAATGATTAGAAAGCCTTGGGTCCCATCAGAATCCACATGATTAGAGGCAAAGTGAAACTGACTGATGACATCTTCCCTATGGAGAGATAAATTGGCAAGTGCCATATGGCCTTGAAGCAGTCCCTCCCAGACTCCCATTCTACTGTGCTCTGGGAAGAGAATCATAGGTATTCTTCTAAGATTCAGACTGGCTGTGGGCCACGTATGCATACAGGGCCTACTTAGATAGTACAAGGAAGCCAGAATGATGGAGGAAAGCCTTTTTTCTACAGAGGTTTGATTTTCCTGAGGTGAAGGTGGGAGCCACAGGAAGGAAACAAAAGGAAGTAAAGTTGAGGTATATTGAGGAATTTTTTTCTTCCCTTCCACTGATCTTCACACCTAATCTTTTGTTATTGCAAGTCACTCTAGAATAGCACTTTGGAATGGACTGAGAATTAAAGGAATATCCAAATATACCAAAATTGAGGGCCTGAAAGATTCAGTACCAAGGCCAGAAAAATCACAGAGCCAAATGTTCTGTCCTCTGGAGTATAAAGTTGTATTGCATAAATATTATTTATGTATTCTCTCTCCCTCTCTCTCTGTGCATGTCTCTGTGTGTGTGTGTGTGTGTGTGTGTGTGTGTGTGAGAGAGAGAGAGAGAGAGAGAGAGAGACAGAGACAGAGACAGAGAGGCAGAGGCAGGGACAGGGACAGAGCCAGAGCTAGAAACAGAGAGGGAAGAGTGTGAGGGTTCCTGTGGCGAACAGAAGGCAGTCTCAGATTCTCTGGAACTGGAGTTACAGGTGAGCTGCCTTACCTGGGTACTGGGAATGGACCTCTGTTCCTCTGGAAGAGCAGCAAATGCTCTCAACTGAGGGATCACTTCAGTTTCTGTATGAATAATTTCTTTAAACGAAAGTTTTTAAAATCACAATTTATGTGTGGGTGTTGTGTACATGTGAGAGTCAGAGGACAAGTTGCACGAGTCTGTTTTCTCCTTCTACCATGTGAGTCCCAGGGACTGAAGTCAGGCACTTAGGCTTGGTGACAGGCATCTTTACCCATTAAGCCATCTTACCTGCCCATGGATAAATTTTGTTTTTGAGGCAACGTATTATTATCTAGGCCAGGCTTAGCTCAAACCCACCTCGGCCTTCCATTTTCCCAACCTCTCTTCATTCATCCTGGTGGCATTGGGAACTTCAGTGTATCACTCAGTGTACTCTTTTGTTCAATCGGCCCCACCCACAGAATGCTCATTGCAGTGAGTCACTGGACTGGTTCAGGCCTCTGACATACCTTCATCACTGGACTGTCACAGAAACTCCTCTGGGATATCCTGGTGTTTCCCCAAATCATGGAGATCCTGTGGTTATCGTTCAGTAGGGCCAGTCCCTTCACGAACTCCAGCAGGTCATAGATGGGGTAGATGTCAGGGTGGGTCAACCCAGGGCCTAGGATGTGAATCTGGGTGGTAGCTGAGCTGGTTGGTCGGGGCCACTCGGACTGCCCTCAGTAGTTGAGGGGCAGTGCAGCTCTCTCAGGCTCATGCCATTAGGACCAGTTCTTCCATGCCCATGGTGAGGGATGG